GGGGTTACTTAGTTGTGCAATAAAGCTGAACAAACGCATTACACTGTAACGAAACAGTATATTATTAAAGTGGGTGATTTCCCATAAAAAGTTCATTTCTTCAATAACACAGCCTACCCTAGCTCTACTAGCAGATCTTAAAATGAAGTATGCAACACCGGAAATTACGACAGGCAATACAAACGTTCGAATAAACAACAGCATTGGCTTTTCCATTGCACTGTCTGCCTTACATAATTAATTTTCCTGTGTTACATTTTAACCTGCAATGCAAATGGAAAATGGCTGAAAGTGATGACGAAGTGCACGGTGCACAAATACATTATGGCTGAAAAAGGAAAAGGGTTTGACTTTCGCTCAGAAGTACAGAAATCTGTGGGTCTTATATGAATTTTGGTCATGAGAAGCTCTTCGACAACTTAAAAGGCATTCTATGGATGTGGTCTGATCGCATTGTCACCATGTTTACCCTGCATCAATAGAGTATTCCTTTTTGTACCCTCTGTTGATGTTTATGTTGTACTGTCTTGGTGCGTGGCTGTGTATGAGGCTGATCCTGAAAACCCATGACGTTTATCAGAGAAGAAGAGTTTTCAGCAAAGAGTAGACTACATCTCTTCCACATCGAGTGTCTGTGCACTTTGCTGCTTTGTATGTAGTAAAGTTTAGTTCGTGGATCACGGTAAGTTCAGTGAAGCCACATTTAACCTAAACAAGATAAGACAGCAGACATTGAAAAGCGATTGAACTGAATAACCTCAGCAGAGTTCATCGTCTACTCAAACACTCTCATGCACGACTTTAACCGCAACAATTGCCTAGGAATCAGAAAGATGGACTCAAGTCCAGTTAAAAATGACATATATTATATACTGAAACCTTATCCCCCCCCCCCTTTCACACTTTTTTATGAGCAAGATTTTACAACTAGAGATAGGCAAAATGGCGATCGGTGAATGATCGTGACAAAATTGAGTGGGTCATCTTGCCTGTATCTTGCTTCCAATTACTGTTTACAGTAGTGCGCTTTAAGAAATTGAGTTTACAAATTGCTGTCCTTAATCTGGAATATGAATGCATTAGGTAAGCGAACCAATAAATGATAGCTATCTATTAAATGCGGATGTTAAAATCGGGCATCGAATCGGATTTCAGCGTTCTGCCGATGGGGATTCATGGAATCACCCCGACCCATAGGCCTTCATTTTCAACACATCAGCGCTCCCCTTGTATCTAGATCTAATTGATTACAATGTAGAATCTACACGTGTTATCAAGTCAGCTTTATGGCCATTTTTTGGTGACACATTATCTTTATTTTGAAAAATTAGATGTCTATTATTACTGTAAAGAATAGTCCTAAAAATAACGGGTTTTTTGAGTCAGCTGTCCCTGAAAATGGCGTTTTTCATGTTGCAGCTCGATGTCCACAAAACTATAATATTATTCTAGTTAAAATATTCCCAGGTCCTTTGAATATCACCCCGTCGCAAAAAATCTGGTATCGAAATGCAGAGAAAGAAAATGCCTATTAATCTCACGTTTAAATATATGTAAACATTTAGTATTGAGTACGGTACCAATTACAACTTCATGAGCTTCTAGAATTTGCCTGCACATGGCTGAAATTATAAAAGTACACAGATACAGTGGCCTTTTCTAAGATTTAAAAAAAAACCCAACTACTTGCATTTTCTCTTTACAGATCGGGGAAGAAAGCTGGGAAAAGGACAGTGACTAGTGTTACTCTATATTCAAGTGTCCACGATGGAAACTTCTGAAAAGAGTGCACATGGATTGCCCCACACAGAAAATGTTGTGTGGGCGCCTCCCGCATACGATGAACAGCACCACTTGTTTTTTTCTCACGGAACCGTCTTGATTGGTATCGTCGGGTCGTTGATCATTACTGTGGCAGTGGTAGGAAATATTCTTGTGTGCTTGGCAATTTTCACAGAGCCTATTCTCTCCCACAGCAAAAGCAACTTTTTTATCGTGTCCCTGGCAGTTGCCGACTTACTGCTCGCTCTCCTGGTCATGACGTTTGCTTTAGTCAACGACCTGTACGGTTACTGGTTGTTTGGAGAAACCGTCTGCTTCATCTGGATGTCTGCAGACGTCATGTGCGAAACAGCGTCCATCTTCAGTATCTGTGTCATTAGTTACGATCGCCTGAAGCAAGTGCAGAAGCCCCTACTTTACGAGGAATTTATGACTGCCACTCGGGCTCTTTCGATTATTGCTTCATTGTGGATTTGTTCATTTGTCGTGTCTTTTGTACCAATATTTCTGGAATGGCATGAGCTCTCGGTGGAAGAAATCAAAGCCATTTTCAAGGGTCGCAATCCATACAAAGACACGGTCAAGGAAAATGTCACCAATGTACATAAGCCTAATTTTTCTTCTGTACTCAAACAAACTTTGAGAACTGAACAAAAAGTGACCACAAAACCCGAGTGTCTTTTTGACGTGCATTTCACCTACTCCGTCGTCTATTCCTTCATTTGTTTCTACATACCGTGCACCTTAATGCTGACAAATTACTTACGCCTCTTTTTAATTGCCCGAAAACATCGGCACCGGATCAAGAGCCTCGAGAAGACCAGCCTTCCACAGCCCGGCGATGAAGGGCCACGCTCCCACCGTAAACGCTCATCACAAGGCAGTAAAGCAGCCCGGACTCTCACGATCATCACAGGAACTTTCATGGCGTGCTGGTTGCCTTTCTTTATCATCAACCCAATTGCCGCAGTAGATGAACACCTCATCCCACTGGAATGTTTCATGGTGACCATTTGGCTCGGTTATTTTAATTCTTGCATCAATCCCATTATCTATGGGACGTCCAACTCCAAATTCCGAGCAGCTTTCAAACGACTTCTGCGCTGTCGTTCTGTAAGGGAAAACGTTGGAAACGTCACCCGCAATAGTTCGGTGTACAGGGCGTTCTCATGGATACGACCCAGCCTCATAGAGGAAGGCTTAACACAAGGCCAATGCTGTAGCAGTAGTCGTCGCGCCTTTGACAAAGGACAAGATCAAACCAGCGTTGGGGTTGATTACGTCATAGATGATTTCCCAGCACCCCAGGCCATCATCGCAGAACTTTGAAGCCGCATCAGCACCATGACGTTGGAAAGCAATGACGTTCTCTTCGGTTATTTCCCATTTCAGAAAATTGTATCGTCGAAAGCGTAGATATGAAAAAAAACCCATTGTAGAGCAGAGAAAAGAATGACGGCATTGGAATACATTATGTAGTTCCTTCTCATACAACAAATCCCTTAATTTAAGCGAACATGGGTTCGTAAATGTTGACGAAATACATGTATCAGCCAGATGTGAAGAATCGTAACGGTCAGGTGCAATAGATCAGGCGTTTTTTTGATGACATGCGTTTTTTTAGACATGTCGATTAATGACATGATGTATTGGCCAAAGTTGTTTGAAAAACAGAATTCTCATAAGTTCTTTTCAAACATTCCTCGCGTTTTGTTTCATATGGAAACTGAAAGGGGACAGCTCCCTCGATATCACGAGGTACTATAGGCCTACGTACGTGCTGAAGGCCCTAAAGATCGAATCCACAACTTGATGTTCTTGAGTTCGGGTTGTTTGGGGAAGTTTGTCTTTTTAGGGTAGCTTTGATCTCATAACATATCAAACTCTAGCTTGTAGAACTTTTTGAGTTTGAAATAATCGCAAGCTTAATGCTATGTAGATTTAGCTCCATTTTGCCAGCTTTCTTTCTTGTGAACGTATGGCATAGATACAATGTATCTAATATACGTGAAAACTGAACCTGAAATTGTGCAGAACACGAGCATTAATCGGAATCGTAATAACTTTGGGCTCAAACTCAAAACTCAAAGGAAAGATTTTTCAACAGCCTTGAAAGCTGTAACAAAAATGTGAAGAGCCGGAAATTTGAGATAGTTCAAGGATATATAAATAATATATGTGTGTGTCTATTATAATACATATACACATGTATATAAATCATGTAAACCTCTTTTTATCAGAAGACAAAAATAAAGTCTTCCCGGTCACTTCTCTTTTATCACAGTTGCATGTGTAGTGTGTGCTCCCCAGTGGCTGTTACAGCATTCCAAGACATCTATGATGTCTATGAAATACGTCTCTTATATTTTATAACTCGTTGTTCAGGACGGTACTTTAATGCTTTTTTTGTTCATTTGCTAGTTTGTTTTATTTATATTTGAATTTAAGAGAGGGCATCAACTTGATGACGATCCTTTCAAGGAGGGCAACTTTCAATTGACAAACGAAATAAAAAGCTTTTATCAGCACCAGCTGAGACATATGATTTTATTCATACATATCAAAACCGACATAGCTTTTCTAAAAGCAAAGTGAACATCTTGTGGAGTGCAACCTTTGCACCAAACCAAAGATTTCAATGTTCATAGCTTTTATACTGAGAGAATCAACGTGCACAACACTAGGAAGATTTCTCTTCGTCGAGTTGATGCTTTGTTGGACCCTAACCTAGCCTCAATAGCCTGTCCCCGTGATTTTATGCACCCCCCTTAATTTAGCATAATGTGATCATTTTTTTGCTTAATTTCTGATTATTTCCCGTTGTAATTTTTTGTTAAAATTAACAGAATCGCATAATTTCACATTTTTGGGCCCAGTTTGCATAATTTCAGTTTTCTTGCATAAAACAACGGGGTCAGAATAGCGCCTGTATAAGAATGTCAACTATTGAGCATGGCAGGGTCCTTGGCGCTCTCGACATCTTTGTCATCGCCATAAATCAAAGGGGAAACACAAAAAAAGACAGGAATAAAAAAAACAACAACAATAAAAACAACCCAAAACAGCGATACCAACTACAGGGAGAAGCTGACTATCAGAAGAGAGAGGAAACATAATCTGAACACCCCAACCACAACATTCCAGTGTCCCCACTGCAACAGACATTGCACATCCAGGATCGGATTGCACAGCAACATGCGTGTCCACAGATGTGCTGCAGGATTTCATCGTCATCTTCGGCAACGAAGGACTACCTACAAACATACTTAAGAGGTTGTTGTTGTTGTTGTTATCGATCCAGCAACAGCTGGGCTCTCGCCCTTCAGTCCAATGACATGTAGGGATAAGTGCAGGTTTGCTGCAGTTGCTGTAATGTTCCATAGGGTGTGTTGTCAATGTTAGGTCTCGGAGGGAGAAGGGTATATACTTAAGACAAGATAGACAAATACAAAGAGAAGATTTTATTGATCTCCACAAAGAAAAACTTGCTGCGGCATGGTAAATACATACACACACTCGTCAACACACACACACTGTAATACACATACACACACAAACATCCTCTCCCTCTTTCTCTCACATAAACAAACACACAAATGCATAGATTTACATACACAGATGTACACATAATAATAGTTATTGGATAGACATACAAAATATTGATGACGATATCAACATTTTTTTATACCCGTTGATCCTTGCTTTAAAAAAAAAATGTATTTCTAACATGTTCGATATTCCAAATACAAGGATTGTTTGGTGCCAGCTACAAAGGCCTAAATGTAAGAAACTTTCAATTCTCCATTGACTTGATTCAGTCTGCAAATCATAAGAATGTTCATTATTTTCAGGATAGCAATAATAATAAATATAAATAACATTTGTACAGCACTGAGCACAGATTCCGGCTCACCAGCGAGCTCCATGCCCCTTAACTGATAGCATTCTGAAACAATCTCAGAAACAGGACCAACTCTATTATGGAACAGAATCATACAGCATCTTCGTCTGTCTCACTTAAATAAAGAATATGTGAATTGATACTGTCTAACAATATTTTGGTGTTTTATTTTATAGTACACAATGTTTTTCATACGGTCCTTGACCATCAAAGATTTATTTATAGAGGCATCAGCTATTCATGTCCAGGTGCAGTTTTAGCCTCTTTTTCCTGTCTGTGGATTAATATTCTTTTTTCCAATTTATTGGTTCCGCTTCCATGTACCCCGTATCCATGGTTTTCATACGGTATAAAAAGGAAACAATACACTCTCACAAGTGTGCAGCTTTCATAGAGATAAAAATCCCCCCCCCACCAAAACAAATTTTCCCACTGTACAACCTGTCAATGTGGAGATGAGAAAAAACACTCAACTCATACCAGCCAACAGCAACATGTATCCGAGTACATGCAGCAGGAAGATTATTGGTGGGTGGATGGTGGGTGCTCTGTTGAGATTTGCTTTTTCTTTCCTAGCAAATATCTATTACCCTTATTTCTCCTCCTTCTTTTCGTGCTCATTACTCTCTTATAACACCTCTAATCCTCGGAACTTATATGACCAAATTGCACTGCAAGTGCTGTAAAAAGCTTCCTAAAACAATTTCCAATATGAAAAGATACCCACCTGAAGACAACCTTAAAAATCTCAACATTTAAAACAGTTAAATAAAGTTACCAGGAGAAAATCTAATAATCAAATTGTTATCACATATATCCAAGGCTAACATCTGTGACAGGATCATTTTTTGTATTTTTCAACACCAGGTAACACATTGGTGTCATCAGGAACATGTTCAAGGATGAGACTGGAGCCATTGTAGACAAGGTTGTCAGTGTTGTCCATTACTTCTGCCACACTGCTGCTGACGGGCATCAGGCAACCCGTGTCTGCATGAAACAGTCGTAATTTCTGTAAAAAGAAAGAAAACAAATTTTTAAAAAGTATATTTGATTTTTGTTTGTTAACCCTCTTTCATTTGGGTTTAAGGTTCTGCTTTTTAGTGGATCGCAACTTGAGTGGTGTTTTTGGGGGTACAGTAGAATCATCTTATTATGAGAGGGAGGGGACTAGTGCGAAGAATTCATGATAGCAGGATTCACGTTATAAGAGATTCAGTAATAAATTCAAGGAAAATAATAAAATAGGCCTAATCTATGAGTTTGGTGGTCTGTTTATTTCTTTTTGTTATCTCGCCTGATGATGCCAGATATGTTGTCCCCACCCCACCACACAACACCCTGTGGTGCGTTCCGTCTGCTTGCGCACATGGGGTACACACCACACTCTGCCCACATCACACATTCGCTTCATCCATCACAGCACTGTGACCTCTCCATCCCCGCATCGGAGAAGTGAGAGGCATGGTAAGCCTAGATAATCTAGACTAGGCTAGCCTATCACACAATCTGTTCTGCTTGCCTGCACATGCCACACCCTCCCCACTCAACTCATTCGCTCCTTCCTTCATTGTTGGCACACGAGGGCTATCCCATTCTGTTTCGCTAGATCACCAAAAAGTTTTTCCTCAGGCAAGGTTTTACATGTATTGACCAACCAGAAGCGCAGTGCACAGCAGCAATATTCCTCTATAACTGACTCGAATGTTTGTCTGACTGCGCTGTAGCAATATTTTATTTACAAAAGATAAAGAAGAAAAAAACCTCAGGGGTTTTAAAATAGTGTCTCTATCACATATTTCTCGTTCTTTCTGGATTTGTTAAAACCGGACTCTTGAACCAATTATGTCAACCCCAAGATCTACACCTGGTCTTATGCAACGTTTACTTTCTATTTTCCCCCATCTCCTAGTTCTCTGTTTGACACAAAACAAATTGCCAATATTAGACTGAATTATAGCCGTTTTAAGGTAACACCCGTAACCACCTAAAACTGGTAGGGTGCGAAAAATTGTGGAACAATTTGCACACTAAAAGAGTTAAGGACAAAAACGGTGCTCATCAGTCTAAAGTCATGATGCTGGGTCTCCTCTATGCCAATGTAAGCTTATAGGTACTTGCTTCTGTCCTAGCCTCAACCACAATACTTTTCTGAATAGTTTAGTGATAACTTCGTCATCTTTTCTCATAGGTTTTTCCTACCCATGTTCCCAGCACATACCTAGTATTCTACGATAGGCAGAAATAAACTGAGAGCCTGCTTACATGCAGAACATCTTGAAAAAAAAACTTGCAGTTGGAATTCAAAGAAGAGAAGGCCTACCCAGGTTGGCTGTAAGGGAAATTTTGTAAAACTAATCCTGACCCAAAAGTGAACAATCAACAACAGGTGACTTTCTGAAATGGCATATATGGGTGCAATAACTCTTTATCTCTGGCAAGGCTCACGGTCGGAACTGCTGTGCCAGTAAGCTGCTGGCAGTGGTTGGTCACGTTCTTTTACGACGACTTTTGACGCTGAAAACAGGTCTCTTTACTGGGAGTTCCTTCAAAAGATGAAGAACTATCACAATAGGTTCTGATCAGATGACCTATTTAGTGACATATTTGAGACTCCAAAGATTTTGTACAAAAGAGGGCCCAGGCATAATGGGTTTACCTACCCCCCTTGGAGATAAAGAGTTAACATATTCACTGCAAAGATTTTATTACCCTTTACGATATGGATTAATTAGCTTGGGCTGGATTTGATGTTAATGCGCATTTTTCAGTTGCATCTACTTTGTAGATGAAGAAATTGTATTTACACCACTGTGAAAAACTGCAAAAGTCAAATCATTACCTTATCAGAGCCAGCATTGTTTGTGTTGGTAATGTTCAACTTGTCAGCAATTTTGTCAATGACACGGCCAACTGTCCAGCACTGTGAGAGAAGGAGAGAAAAAAAAGGCTTATATCCATGAAGTGAATCTATCTCATAAATTACAAATTCATTTTACAGAGATAGTCTTAGTATGAAAACAAAGATGATTAACCTCATTACACTAGTATTCATTTAGACCAATATGTGTGGCGGCGTGGTGGAATCAGGCTCTCGTCAAAATAATCAAAATAAAGATACTTGCATTTTTCCGCAGGTTTGTGAATTTTTATCAAATTTTTGTTTTTTGGCTCATCACCTTTCATGCCCATTAAAGAACTCATTTCTGTGTGGATTTTTTCTGAAAAACGTTAATTAAAGGCATAAAAAATGTAAATCTTCAGTTACCACGGACTCTTAAGCTAAGGAAATAACTAATCTTTGGCGGTCATTTTCTCACTAATTTTACCTCTGAAAACAGGTGACCCTCATCTCTTTCTTTTGCAAATATCTCTACTTGTATTCAAGAAAAATGGATATTTTTTGCATACAAATAAAGACAAGTGAACAAGCTTTAAGATGATACTAATAACTCTACATGCCCAAAAATTGACGAGAGCCTGATTCCACCACGCTGCCTCACATATGATGCCAAAGACGAATGAAGAACACGATGATATTTTAGCGCCGACTTGGTTGTTTGTGTGGTTACTTGGAACATAAAACAAAGGTTTATAACACTACTAACCTTCTGTCTGCCTGCGCCTACAACAGGAGTTAGCCAAACCTGTTTCTCTCTGTGCTGTGATCCTTTCCTCAGCTTTGGGGCCCCGATGCGTTGGAATCTCACACGTTACACAAATAAACCGAGGCTCTAACTAGCCTTTTCTCCACCCGAAATCTCAGCAGGCCTCGTCTGCCTTGCTACAGCTCTTCCCTCTAAAGTCTCACCTGAAGTAACCCAGACTGCTTTTGTAAACTTGCAAACAATACAACTGAACAGAGACTCACACTTTACTCACTCTCACACTTGCAGCAAACAATACAATAGGCTTGGCCTAACCCCCTGCCACAACCAAAAACAACAAAATAGATCAGTTTGTTGATAAAATATCAGCTGCCGCTGCATTGGACAGATTGTTGTCTTGAGCAGCGCTGCTTTCAATACCAAGCCGTGAGAATCGTTTTTATAAAAAGATGAAGAATGACTATATCACCTTTACTGCAAAAAAATTCCAGTAGCTTCCAAGATCAGCTAGAATCATAATCATGACTATAGTCGTGATAACCTCCGAGGAACAGTCGCAGCATTGCGACAATAGTCCCGATAACCTTGCGATGAGTTAAGAATGTATGTATGCACATGTATTTAGTGTTAAGATGAGGGTATTGTTAAGAGCCCAGAGCTCCATTACATGAAAATGAGAGCTATAGAAACTATTTGTAATGTTATTATTATTAATATTATTTAAAAATTCAAGGGGAAAGTGAAAAGTGGTTGTTTGTACAGGTGGCAGCCAGAGCAATTCTGACTATATATGCATATATATGGACTCTAACCTTTGAGAAGAACATCGGCACTGATGGTTTGCTCGATGACTTTGGTAGAACAATGTTGAAGAAGATCCGCTCTGATTGTGGAATGCCCTGATCACCCACTGCCACACCCTTCATCTTCATCAGCTTCACTTTTGCTGCCAACTGAATTGACTTCGGGTTGGTGAATCGTGGTTGTGACAGTGGTTTGTTAGCTCTTTGTTCTGTGGAAAAAAGTTTTTAATTTGACAAAGTCTGAGTTTGAGTTTGAGCTTGAGTAAAGCGAAGCACAGTACCGCAATAATGGTCATTTAGCACTGGGATAAAGCATGCCGGACGTGGATCATTAGCAGAGGTGCGATTATTCATTTTTGGCCCAGTTACTAAACAGTTGTAGACATAAATCTACATTATGAGTTGAGCATAGATATGAGAAAACAGACATCTGGTAGGTCAGGTAAAAACTAGCCTTAGTAGAAGGCCCTACAGTAGAGTGACTTACGTAAATGCTATAAACATGTTAGGAGCTAAACTGTTCTGTATCGAAAAAGTTGAAAGTGGGAAAAATAGAGAGGATTTTGTGGTGGATATGGCATTGATAAAGCACTTTTAAGTTATTGTTCTGGTTCACATCAACCCCCTAATTATTGGCAAGTCCAACACACTACTGTAAAGGGGATATATGCAAAGGGAAGCAACCGCTCATGTAAACAAGCACTTTTGGTAACCATTGCTTTAGTTTCTTAATACAGGGACACATTTAGAACAGATGTCCCTATTGTTATCAATTAAAAATGTTCATATTATTCACATCTCTCTTTCAACAAAGACTTGGTTTCAGTGTGCTTGAAGGTGCAACCCAATGACTTTGTTGGATGTGAGCATCATCTGAGCAGCCAGGTGTTTGCTGAACTTTTACTAAGTTGCATTTCATTTCTTAGCCTCACCAAGTATGTTCTGTACATGCTGACTGGTTTTAGATACTTCCGGCTTTTTCTCTGGTAACTTCACGCACTTGTGGTCTTCTTGCACACGATGGCTGTAACGAATCAGTAAAACGTGTAGCACATCGGTTTTCAGTTTCACATAAAGTGAGAGAATCTTCCAAGGCATATAAAACACTAAAAGCAATAATCAAAAATAGTATGTATGAAGGTAATATATACTTTGCATGGGTAATTGTATGTTGGTTAGTTTGGTTGTGATACTTTGTCCTGGGATTATCGTTGGGAATCTTTATCATCTTATAAAAGACCCCCCCCCCCCGTTGCCAAAAAGCCTTGTGGTTCTAAATGAAGAACTGCTCAGGGGAAAAATAATCATCATCATCCGGTGCCTTGCCGACTGGCGTGGGCTATCATGGACCTCCACTTCCATCTGTCTTTCGATGCAGCAATGGTGTCTGTTGTTCTTGCTGCTCCCAGCCATATAATACTAAAATATAATACCCAAAATAATACTGATGCTTTGTATGTCGGAAGGAAAAGCATATCCGTATAACTGTCAGAAGCAGGGGCTGTTGTGTTCACCTCTCACTCAATAGGTCCGTGGTTCAAAACCTGACAGCGACGGAAAAATATCAATCTCTAAACTCTTCTCCTTTTACCTCCTTTCCTGTTCTCTAGACATATGTTCTGTCATCTGCTTTATCTTTGCTTGACCTTGTCTTTGTATGAGTGGAAGATATACCAGTATAAATAACTATGACACCCTGCACAAGCTAGGAGTAAAAAAAAATTTTGCATGTTGTGTTATTGAATGGACTTCAAGGTCACAGATAAAAGTAAAGAGAGAATGATGTCTGAAGTAATTCTATTTTAACTTAATACTAGGCTGCAGTAAGGGATATGAAAACAAAAGTCTCTCAAAGAAAAAAAATACACCAAATCAAATGCAACAGCAAGAATTTACAAAAGCAAAGACGTAAATAATTCACACTTACTTTAAACAAAAGTTAAGCATGCAATGATTGCACAGAATTGGAGTCAACTCTCTTTTACTACAGCCATCTATGCAGCAAGAATAGGACTTCTCTCCTGAGTATTCTGCTGGTAATGAAGTGCTCACCTGAGGAAAAAATGTGAAATAAGTAAAAAGACGTTCCTAAATATAGTGTTCAGTCTGTATGTAATTTTGTAACAGCTCAGCCTGTAAAATGAATTGTAGCAGGAATTTTCAAGAAACATGGAGGAAAATGATAAATGAGAAATGAAAAGGATAAAGGAAAGAACTATAATGCTAGAGAGCAGACTTAGAAACAACCAGGCTAAGAGGCGCCAACGACGAAAGGAAAACAGCGGAAATACAGAGCTTCAATCTACGTCACTGACATGCAAGCACTGAGGCAAAATCTGCGCTTCAAACATAGGAAGAATTAGCCATGAAAGAAGCTGCACGAAGACAACCTTGAGACCATTTGAAGCTAAATTGACCGTTTGCATAGACGAAAAGAGTCATATACATATCGTAGGAATTTTGTATAGTAAAATGGGGCAATTCCACACAATACTTTTTAATTGGATTGTGAGACAAGTGTTATAAGAAGCTACTTTATATAGAAAGAGGACACATCCTCCACAACAGTTTTACTTTGGGTCTGATAAGTTAGGAAACAAAACATAATATGAATTCTACGATATCACCATCCCCATACTTCCATTTTTCAACTTAATTAAAAGTTTAACATTGAGGGGCAATTCCACACCTACATGAGCACACTTGCCAACATGAAAATAAAAAGACAGACATGCAAGAAATTAAAACTGAATTGAAAAACAAAACATGGTAGACAGAAGCAAATGTTTAAAGCTGAAAGTCAAACAGATTTCTGTTGGTTCTAAGGGCTGCAAGTGGGGGAGGGGAATTACCCCGGG